TCTTGGAGTGATCAGATATACTCTACATTTACATAAGTATGTTCTTCGAGAGTTTTGACTTGAGCAACTGATCTATTTGCATGTGATTTGAGTCCTCGGGGAGTGTTTTTCCTCTAAGAGGAGCTTTGCAATACTGACAGGACAGACAACAGAAATTTGCATTCTTTCAATTTCTTCCTTATGCCTGTTACTTTTCTCTTGATCACCCCAATTTTTTCAGAAACTAACAGAGCATTTCAGTCTCTGAAGAGGAAAAAGTACCTATCTGCTTTCTGAGAAAAAGCTTTGTCATTAGGCTCTACTATAATTATACTGGAACCTTGTGGAAAGAAGTTGCCTGCTTTCCCTCTGAATGAATACAACCTTCTATTCGAAAAACAGATGATAGACATTCTGCCTACTCAAGTATGAAAGGACAGATCCCATCAACCTCAAAGAACCATCTGAAATCTAATAACGACCCCACCTTCTAAGATCCACATCCCAGGGACAGTGCTCAATGTATTTTGATCATGATACTAGACTTGAATGAAGGTTTCTAGCAATCTTTATTCAAGTATGTGTACATAATATGGAAGATCGTGTACTGTTACAGCTATTTTGATATCAATATGGGTTTTTTTGGTTGTGTACACCTCTTGAGGAAGAGACAGAACCTGTTGACTTCTTTAAAAGATAAAGAAGGGTTTACTAAAGTATGTCTAGTTTAGCATCTCCCCTGTAATGACAGCAAAGCTGATATATAGTCATATGGGAAGATTTTGAAATCACAGATGTCTAGTTTGCCTTTGGTGAGGACTGACCACATCCATCCAAATTAGGGACCTTGACTAATTTGATACTATTTATCCTGTTACTAGCTTCCTCTCTGAGCATCAGACATGCATTCAAAATGGTGCAGGAACTGTGTTGAACAAGAAATGAGCTGTATTAAAATGAAGCTAATGCAAGTGTTTGAATATGAGGCAGCACCTCCATCTCCTCCCTCACAATTATTTATTTATATATTTTGTTAAGTGAAATTACCAAAGAGGACAGTATAACCCTAATCCTCTGCAGAAAAGTCTTTAAATTTTTTTGGTGGCTTCTACCTTATTCAGGAATCCTGAGGCATTTCTCAGTGGTGAAGACTTCTATCCTCAGTTTTGATGCTATTGCTTTCTAGCTGTGAAAAAAAGCTACTGACCCAATAGATTGGACTGAAAGTATTTGCATTTCATCCAGGCCTCTTCTCTTTCTTTTCTTTGCACAATGTTTTCCAAATTTTTCCCAACACAGTAGCAGATTTCTAACACAAAGATACTGATACAGAGAACTGTCGCCTACTTTCCTTTTCTTCACAAAAATCCATCAGAAAAAGTTTATTACCCACCTCAAATATGTTTGTTTAGGGAGGGGAGGGTATATATGTGTGGCATGATCTCCCCAAGTAAGGGGATTCCTTGGCGTGTTCTTATCCCAGAAAGAAAATTATTTGTCTAGTTCATTATATTTATAAATCAAAGTATATAATGACAGTGAGTTTTTCTACATTGAACCAGGAAGTAGAACAGCAGTCAAATATAACAGGACAAGTACTTCTTGGACACAGGAGAACTGGGAAAATCTTGTTTGATGCAAAACTTTCTAATGTGGATTATCTCAGGTCTAACAATGTGACTAAGCTCATATTGCAATCTTTCCCTTCAACAGAAGGGACTAAAGGGATCTTTTCTGTATCTAGCTGCTTATGTTCACAATATTCTTAATGAAAGCATATCTTGGAAAGCTTTACCGCCCTGACTCATTTGGTTTTAATTAACGAGCATGATATGAAGGTCTGAGAAGGGAAATGACAGGCATATAGCCCATAAAACCAGGATTACAAAACTGTAAGACCAGGTTAACTTTCTGCTTTCTAAGGATTTAAGTATTCAAGACACTACATGGAATATGACAACAGTACACTTCACTGAAATAACTGTGGTGAAATTTAAACAGTACAGAAAACACCATTTTTATGTAGCTAGAGTACAAACAAAATGGTGTTGGTTATTGAACATGTGGTGCTTACCACAGAACAGCAAATCCACTTGAAATGTCATTTATTTAAACTTTTCCCAATCTGTGTGAATCCATACACAAATTTTCTTTTTCTGAACACTTCTTGGACTTGAAAGCTTTATCTGATTAGGAGATAACACATGTGCACACACACACACACATACATATATGGGCACACATAGCTATACAAATTAGGATGGGCTATCAATTGTTGTCTTCTGGCAGATGGCAGAGGGTCACAGTTTGTGACTATCCATCCTGGTAGTAAAGTGAAGGTGCACCACAGCAAACATGCCAAATTAGATGCTTTTCAGCACTGTTTGTGCTTTAGGGAAGACTGTGTTTTACTGAAGAGCGACAGAGACATGTTCAGGTTCTCTTCTGTCTCCCACTTGCTGCAGGGGCGTCTAAGAGCATGTCCCTAGTAATGAAACAGAAACCATATTTATATGGTTTTATGGACACTTTATACATAAATTTGCCAATTTTCATGAAAAAGGAAAGCCACTTGTTCAAAACATCAGAGCTTATAAAGGGGGTGAAATGTCAGACTAAATCAAATCTCAATTCCATGCACGGTAGAAAAATAATATATTACCAGAAAAAGTTTCCTGAATATAAACATGCTGTACTTTCTCATATACATACAAAAATGGTTAAATATAAAAAGAATTACAAATGTCATGGTAAATGCCTAATGTGTCTACAGTTAGCAATATCCTTTCATGTGTCGTACTAAATACATGTCAGTACAAAAAAAAAAAAAAAAAAAAAAAAAGAAAGTGACATTGAAATCAAGCAATGATAACTTGTAACAAAAAGGGAAGATCTATGTCTGAACTTTCCTGAAGCTTATGGCTCACACAGTGAAAGGTCTCAGTTCATTCCATTAAAATATCAGAGTAGGAATCACCTGGAATTTCATATTGGTGTCAAATTTCCCCAGAAATGCTCGATGTCAAATTCTATGTTATTAATTTTTTAAAATTTTTGTCATGGGAAAGGATCTTATTTCATATGCCTCTGGAAGTAAAACTGTTATAAAAGAAGCTCTATAGAACTTTCTTAATGTTTTCAGTTGTAAAAAACAGGAAATAAAGTTAAATAAATGGAAAATTTTATACCTTGCAAAAACACTTGCTGAGTGTTGTTAATGTCATACTGTTCCCTGATCTCATGAGAGCTGACAGATCTTAGAATGAGAGGGAAAATTAATTGCCTCAGAACCACTAAAGTCGTAATTACATTTCCTTCAGTTTCCAGGAAGCTGTCCTGAGCAATAGCAAAACAGAAAATCCCACAAAACCAATCAAAACTCTCATTTCACAGAATGAGTTCTAAAATATCTGTATGAGATTGGATACTCTGAAGAGCACTTGAGCTACACAAAACCAAAGCTGCAGCTGTTATGATTAAGCTCATTGAGTCAGCCAAACTACTGATTCCCAAACTTCACTCCTCACTTTTTGTTATATTTCTCCTCCTTGACCTATACTGGGGTTACCACCCAAGGTAGGATGTCATCAACAAAATATAATATTTATTCAGAAAATAAATCATTTAATGTCAACTTGCTCTTTAATGTCAACCGAGTTCCATCGGTTTTCCATATTGCTGGGAAAATCATATCCCTGGCTCATTGCTTTGGCCACATCAACCTCCTCCATGACCGTTTCCACTGAATCTCACCTCTCATATACAATGGGACTATAAAGCATCTATGATATTTTAAATGTGTATATGTTATATAATAATTACATTAAAATGTGCTTTATATAACCATATTAAAGCTAGATCCTTGATTTCAGTCAGCTAGTCTGGATGCTTTAAAGTGTACATTTTGGCTGAAAGATATTGCTTATGAAATTTTGATGAAATTCCATTAATATTTTTGGTAAAAACAGAAAAATTAAAATCCTTTTTTTTAAAAAAAAATAACTCAAAACAATGCTTTATTTTAGAAACTATATTTTTATTTAAAATATATTTAAGCTGGCTTCTCATGTAGATTTAAAAACTTAGACAAAAATTAATATTTTATTTCAGATAAAACTACATGTGTTGCTTGACACAAACTTACTGGGAGTGGGAGTATGGGACAGTGACATAATTTTGTTTAAAACAGCAATTGTGGGGTTATTTTCATATTTTAGATCAGCTTGACCTTTATAATACTAATTATTTTCATAGCTCTGCATGAAGTATATCTCTTTTAGATGTCCACTTTGCATTCAGTATTGATTATTAATTAATATTTAATGTGAATATTAGTCATATTAATGTTATTGATCAACATGTTTAATTTTCTATTGGCAGTTCTTGTTCTTTTTTGCTTATTCAGTTCAAGGATAAATCAAATTTAAGGGTAGGCTTGCTTTTAGTGAGGTTACAACATTCAGAATCACTTTGAACATGGAACTTTAAATCTTGATTCTAGAGTGGAAATTGATTAAACATTAATATTCCTCAATTGAATACCACAGCATTGATACAAATGTATTATATAATAAACATGGGGAAAATGTAATCTTCAGATAGTGGTAAGCGACAAGCATGTATTGAATAGAAACCGCCTTTATCTTTTAATCAATCAGATCAGATACTCTTGAATTTAGGTAATGTTCCTGTGTGGATCCAAACCTTCACAGCAGAGCCCTTCTATATGCTGTTTAAAAGCACCTGCAGGCATCATCTGCAGAGAGCAAAAGCTTATCTATTTTTTTGTTACAGTGAACGTCAGCCAAGGCTGGTAGATCACATTCAGTCTCTCCCTCTTTCCCCTGGAACGCCGCCTGCTCCTTCTCTGAGGATGTTTTGAAGCACATTCTGGCAAGATGGGAGGAGCTGTTACAGAAACTACCATTAAAAATTTGTAAATCCCAGTCCTAGTTTGCCAGAGGGTACAGAGTTTAGGTGGAGGAAAATTATACTTGATTTTTTTTTTTTTTATTTTTCAGAACCACACAAGAAAGAAAAAATGATGGAAACTGGTGATTATTCTCCCCTTTTTATCTTACTCTTCAACTATCCTAATGTTTTAAATTAATCCATATCAGGGGTCAATGTTTGATTTGTGCTTATTTTCTGTTTTTACAGCCAAAACACCAAGGAAAGAAATAAAAGTACATGGTAAGACATGTGAAAGACAGTGAGTTTTGGAGTTTCATTTATCTGGCTTGATTTTAAATTGAGAAAGGATTAAATAAAGAGACCAAAACAGTGAGGCCAGAGATAAAGATTTGCTGATCTAAACAAAGTTACTTGAGCAAATGAATATCTGTGGAGCAGCCATGCAGTGATTTGGTCTTCTGGAACTGAGATCTGACCAAATGTTGCTGAGAAGAACAACAAGGGTGACAATTTTTAATTTGAGCTTTTAGAAGTTTATATTTTCAATGAAGGAGGCCTTCTTGGAGGTTGCAGTAAATGGGTGGAGGACAAAACACAAAATAGGAGCTTCAGGATGTGGAGGGGAGGAAATATATAGGTTATTTTATTTTGTTTTTAATACAAGGACCCATGCTATTCTTGTATCTAGGTGCTCTTCTTATTCCTGACTGGAATCTACTTCTCCATCTTATCCAAATTTAGGAGAGCACAAAGATTTTCAACTCCTTTTACAGCTAAGATTGATGACTCACTCATCAGCTGACTCTATTTTCTCAATTATAAATTCTGAGCAAAAAATACCCACAGTAGACAGTCAATTATAGAAAAATGAATCTGTCATTTTCTATAGCATAAAAAACTGTCACAGGGCTTCAGAATGAAGCTGTGGATAATGAAGAATGAGAAATGTGGTAGTTAATTAATTTGGATTTAGTTAATGTAATTATGAAGAATGGTAAGCAAATTAAACTGAAAAAATAAATTTTCGAGGAAGACTTTTAAAGGTGGATCTTACCCTGCATCAATACGAGAAGAGTTCTGTGCTTTGAGTTTTCAATAAACCAAAAAAAAAAAAAAAAAAAATCATTAACTTCCCCACATTAGTGAAATTGTGAAAAGGACATTTCTACTGCATACCCTCTACCTATGTTTTACATGTACCTGTTTTTAATCCTTCTTTCATCCTCATTAATTGAAAATAGTAGACCTATTTAAGCTCCATATATAACTTACCTCTTGACCTTGTTTTCCATTGCTTTTAATCTGCAGGTTAATTAGTCATCTGCCATGAGACTATCCAAATAAGCAACATATGTGCGTGTCAGTTTTTCTCTGCATTAAAAAAATGAACGCCTGCTCTGCATAGATAGGTAGCATATTGGCCAAGGGAAGAGGTGCTAGGATCAATCTTAATTTCTTTATGCATTTACAAAACTTGTTTCCTGGAATGTTTTCTTTCATTTTACAGCATCTGTAGAAACTCTGAAGTCAAAAGGTGAGCAACTTTATCTATTTTAAAAATTTAAATGGAAGATTGCTATTGCTAACTCTACTGTTAACAAAAAAGTTTCTTGTGACAAAACTAACAGGTGTGACTTATGTAAAACAAAGTGAACCTTTTAAATTATAATGGATCCTTCCTTGCAGCACCTCAAAGCACCTCTAGAAAACAGGTGTCTTCTACCTGAGTTTTCCATAAAGTAACAAACTGTAATTCAACAACTGTATCAAACTCAGTTGTTGTGGTTTGAGCTCAAAGGGCAGCTGAGCACCACACAGCCGTTCACTCACATCTTTCCCCCCCAGTGCTGGGAAGGAGAAAATGAAGAAAAAGTCTGAGAAATAAAGATAAGGACAGGGAGGGGCAGCTCACCCATTAGGGTCATGGGCACTAACACTAAAAAAGACAACACTTAACAGACAGAGTGGGACAATAAGAAGCATTACCAGATCTTAAAACCACCTCCCCCTACCCTTCCCTTCTTGCTGGGCTCAGCTCTGCTCCAGATCTCTCTACCTCCTCCCCCAGTGGCGCAGGGGTCAGAGGGTGGGAGTTACAGTCAGTTCACAGCTTCTTTCTCCACGGGAGGGGAGGGAACACTGTGCATTCTTCCCCTGCTCCACATGGCTCTCTCCTCGTGGGAAACAGTCCTCCATGAACCTTCTCTGGAGTGATTCCTCCCCATAGGATGTAGCCATTCCCATGTTGATCTGGCACGGGTCACCACTGCATGTTGCAGACTTCCCAGCACCAAACTACAACAGCGGGGGCCACTTCTCCCCTCAGAGTCCCAGCTGCTCTGACGCATCTCCCCCCTCCTTCCTTCCACTAACCTCAAGATTTGCATGGGTGCCCTCCTCAGAAGTCCCAACCCCTTCTCAGATTCCCCTTCTTAAATATGTTATTGCAGAGGTGCAGCTGAATGGCTCAGCCTTGGTGCAGAGGCGGGTCTGACTTGGAGCTGGGGGACTTTGAGAAGTTTCTCACAGAGGCCACTGCTGTAGCCCCCCTCCCCCACTACCATAAACCCCTGCCCTAACAAAATGTAATTCTCAAACTCTATCAAACTCAGTTTCTAACTCTAAAAGAAACCATAAGGATTTTGTGAAAGGCAGAAAGGAGAAGTAACCAGTCTTCTAGAGAGACATACCACAACGGGTAATATTTATCTTTTTGCAAGCCCAGCTGCAGCACAAACCCAGGGACTGAACAGTTGTTTTCCTTACTGAGTCTAGGAAGTTTTACAGGAAGGTTCAGTGAAACAGGTTTTGCCTTCCTTTCACACAAGAACTGCCAATGGCAGAAGGTGAGAGGAGTGGGAGCATCAGTGCTTGCTCCAAGGGTTGCTCCTTTTCAGAAGGCATAGGGAACCAGGACTGGGGAGAAACATCAAGGTCATAAGTTTGACCTGAGCAAATATTTAATTGTGTGTCTCAGTGTCTGACTTTTTACATATATACAATGCACGATACTAGTTATGAATTGCCTTCAGGAACATTGCAGATGTCAGTTGTGTCCTAGACACAAATGGAAAATGGAATGGCAAGTTACGAATCGCACTTCACTCTCAGTCCATGTTTATTCATATCGATGACCATCTTGCTTTATAAACATTCCTTTTCAAACAAATGGGACTGCATATATCAGCTGCTCAGCCTTCTGGATTGTGGTCTTTGAGCTGTCTACCACAAGTCAAAGGCAGAGAATTGAGAGTTTCCAGGTTTTAATAGCCTGTTATCATTCAAGTGTCTTCTTTTTACTTTAGAGTTCATCTCTGAAGCCTTATACATATTAACCAGTAAATTCAGACACAAGTAGTCACGCTGAATTACAAGGCAGTAGAATGCTCTTCTGGAGCATGGGGAAGGGTTGCAGAATCACCACTATGGAGATTAATGTAAGGAAATCAAAGCTGATACATTATTCCCTTCATTGGATGTTTTTAAGTTCCCTGCTTCATGGGCTAAATTCATAATGCTGTCATTGTTTTGCAGCTAATTGTATTGAGCAAAACAGAAACCAGAGTAATTTAGGCATTTATTTTCTTTATACTCCCACCAGACAAAACACAGAAACTAAAGGAAAAAAAAAAAAATGTTGAGTTAAGCTTTTGCATTTTTAGCAAATTCCAGACAGTCAAAGCTGAAAATAAAGGTAGTCTTGCTGCTATGGGTGATTGAGTAAACCTTTCCCCTATTGCTTGAAGTCTCTGAGTAAATCTTTTTGTTACATTATTATTTCTTCTGTAACGCTGTAGTATGCATATGGAGTCAACATTTCAACATCTGAATATATTTCTGCCAAGCCTGTGTTCATCAGGGTCTGAAAAGAAGTGAAGCAGTTGTTTCCTGCACAATCCTTCTGCAAACTTGAAGTTTTCTTTGGCCACTACTGGGAAATGCTGTCATATACCTTTTGAAATTTTTATTCCCACCTATTATATTTACTGTTTAATTTAAAGTCATTTTGTTTAGGTCACTTGTAAAGTTTACAAACAGAATTAGCAGGGGTTTTGAAACTACAGGGTTTTTACCTCTATGCTTTTTTTGCTGTGAGTAGCCTCAGATTTTTCTAGTGAATACTATATTTCATATATATTTAAGTGAGAAGAAAACATTTGTATACGTAATAGATCTTCATCATGTCTTCTGCACTTTGCAGGATGGAAGCAAACTCTTCCTTATGAGATATTGAATTAAGGGGCGCTTGAAAAAAATGAATAGGAAGTTCGCAGTTCATTAAGGATAAACATAAATTGTAGGTTTCTGTTATATGAAACAAGAATCACTCTGTTATTTCTGTTGTCAAAAGGTCAGTCTCACAACTGAATATGTTGGTGTCAGCCACCTTAGTTTTACTGTAGGATCAGCCTAATATTGAACTTGGAATTATTCTCCAGTATTTAAGTAAATAACAACTGTTTTAATCAGTCACCAATTCCCATTAAACAGAAATAGCTGATGTTAGCTCTGGAGAAATTGTTAATTTCTGAAAAATTACTTGTTAACAAGTGATCTAAATTTATGTTGTTAATTTTGAAACTCAAACATAGCCCATACTCCAGGGGGAAAATGGTATTTATATTAAAAAGTTACAGCTGTTTGTTTAGCCTCTTAGTAAGAATCACAAAGTAATGTTGTTATTTTCTTCTAAATATATTTTTTTACAATCACAGATGAATTCTAGTGGTGTTTAATAGCTATATCTTTCACTAACTCTGAACAAAATAATTGTTTTTCAATCTGTATTTGTTTGTTCTTTATTGCTGCTCTTTATTTACTTGCTTGCTATTTTTCTGCTATTAATCCATTTAGATTTAGCAGCTCTCTGGGCACAGTGAGGTTTTCAATATTCAGTAGCTGTTGGCAAATTTCAAAATTTTTAAGCATATTCATAGAAGCCAAATAGTCCTGTTCTGAAAACAAGCAAGGCTTTTTGTGAAATACTCTTCTTTGGTAATTAAAATAATTTATCTGCTGGCATAGAAGGAGCTATAGGCCATTCCCACTAGCTTGTGCTTCTGATGAACTATCAACATCATATGAAGTTTTGTTGCATTTTCTCACAAAAGGTTCTGTAATTCTCAAAGAAAAAGGTTCCTTGTTTGCTATTCCTCTTTTCTTTTTAGGTTAGATAAAAAATTCTTATTTTGTAGTCATACATTGGGGGAAAAAAGGTATCTCATGCTTGCAAATCTTTGAAACCATTTGCTTCAAAGTAATCTGTAAGCATTTAAGAAAAGATTTGTCTATTGGGGCAACATTTCTGATTAGAAATCTTACTTAAACCTTATCTTTGTTTTGCATCAGTACCTGAAAAGAAGGAAGAAAAAGCAATGAAGGCAGCAGAACAAGGTAAAAAGAAAACAAAGCATGTTGGCATTATCTCTCTTAAAAGACAATGACACAGAAACAAAAACCTCAGATACAGACAGCTGGATGACAGCAACCTTTAAATCCATTGCTCAGCTAGTATTTGTCGGGGCTCTGTTACGTTTATCAGAGCAACAGGGAATTTCCACTGGGAAACTATCCTTGTCCCACTTCCACAAAACTGCAACACTCACAAAAAGCTTCAGGTGAATAGGCCACCCGCTTCAGCTTAAATGTCCTGGGCTGGGACTTTGTGTCCCACAGATCTTGCAAGAGGCTTCCTGCCCCTGCAGCCTAGACACGGATCAGCCTTTATTACTCAGTCTTAGAGAGTGACTTGCAATGAGGTAAAGGGGCAGAGCCACCTGAAAGTCAGCTGAGCTGTCTTTCTTACCCAAAATGGAACATTAGCCCCATGAAGAGCCACAAGAGTCCACTGCAGGGAAATTCAAAAGCTTCTGAGGGCAGAACTCATAGATGTTTTAAGCAAAAAGCTTAGGGTTGGTATGGATGAGTCATGAATGGGAATGTCTGGGAGCGAGAACATCAGAAGAAGAAAGGATACGAGAACCTCATGTGTTGATGGCACATAGTTCAGAAGGTCACAAAGTCTACATACAGTTTCCCAAGCCAATGAGAGTGGGAACACCAAGGGACAGTCTACACCCAGGCTAAAACAAAACTCAAGCTACTGAGTGATGATGATAAACGTAACAAGAAAAGTATTGGAGCCTTAAAGCAACTAGATGAAGATCTGCCTTTTCACATTATATGCACTTATATGCATTATTATTGTTACTTTCTGCATTATATCCTTCCTACTTGCTTCTTGTATACTTGTTAAAAGCAATCCATACGTTTTTAGGTTAGCATGGTAAGGAGCAAAATAGTAAAACACTGGCATAAATACCCAAAGCTAATCAGCCCTGGCTTCCTCTATATAATACAGTTCCTAACCTATTGTGTTTTGTTACTGTTTACCAAAATAATTTTTGTATTTACTCATGCTCAGATTGGCAATTAGAACCCTGATGATGAATTTGGCATTTTTTGTCTTACCACATTGGCATTTTTTCCAAACTTGACAGTAACCTTTAGAATAAGGTATAAGACATATTTACCCATGTATCTTTGGTCAGTTGAGCTAATATCTCATTCTTTTCTCCAGTTTCTCAGTTTCAGCTTTACTCAGCATTACTCAAGCCAGCGCCAGCACCCTGTAGCAGCTGTCAGCTGCTTGTTAGTTGTCATGGAAAATGTTATAATTAGGTGGGCTTTGGCCTAGATTTCAGTTGTTAGTCTGGGTATCTCCACACTATTTCCCATTGCCATACAAGTACTTCCCCAGCCATCTGCACTGCTTCTCCTCTGTTTGGCTATCTCATGCAGCAATGAGGTGGTGTTTGCTGTAAGATATGTCCCTTCTACAATATGCCACCATTAGATGGGACTTCATCTGTAAAATATTATAACTGTGCCATAAAGAGCACAGAGTGAAAAGTACAAACCATAGTTTCACATGGCTGGCACTGAGCAGGGATTTTTAAACCATCAGTTGTGGTACCCAGGAAGCTCAAAAGCGTACAGACTTTCCCATGACAGCAGTCAGCAGCAGCAGCACTGTCCCCATGCCAGCAGCCATCTAGCTCCTGCAAGTCAAAGGAATAAGAGCAATGTGTAATGTCTATCACAACTATTTCTGCAGCTACTTCCAAGTGCTGGCAGCAGCTCAGTTCTTCTGCTGCACAGAAGCGAACATAAACACCTTCAGACAGCAAATGCCTCTGCTTCTCATTTCTGCACCTTATATGTATGGAGCTACTGCCAACACATTGATCACTCAAAGACAAATGAGCAAAAAAAACTTTCAGGAATTTTTTTTAATATTAGCATGTACTCATATTTCTCATGGAAATGTAAAATATAAGGTGATGGAAGCAGCTCTGAATTTTCTTTTGAGTGAAGAGAAAACTGTACCTAATGCACTGATTCCAGGTATCTGAAAGATCTGAGGGAAAGAGAGGACTCTCTTAATCAGGGTAGTATGAATATACTAGTTTTTAAACTGAAAGGGATTTTTGAGCCTTTTAGATGGAGAAATTAAATAATTTATTCTGCTAGCTGTTATATGTAAGGATACATGTCAAAAAGCAGAGGGATTCAGACCTGGTCAGAATTAGGATTTGCAATTTAAGAAAAGCACTCAATATAAGGAGACTTGCAGGAAAATCTGGAGCGTTGGGGGTTCTGTTTGTTTAGCAATCAGGACATAGCTTCATTGTTTCAAACCTAAAGGTTTTAGTGATCAAACATTCTATTTCAGCTTTGACCTTAAATCCCTGTGGTCTAGAAATGGGCTAAAAGGTTGTAGCAACATTTCAGTTCACTGATCTTCTATTAGTAGCAATGCAAAGTTGCATGTAACATTTTTAACTGTTAAAAGGAGGGCGAGAAGGCAGAGAACTCCCATAAATGTCTAGAAAAAGACAGTGCTTTAATTCTTTGCCCTATTTGTTTGAAAAAAAATGACAAGAAGTGTCAGGTGATTGTCAGGGAGTTACCACCTGTTATTAAGGCTACTGAGAATTAATACTTAAAAGAAATGAGGAAATGGCAAAGATTTTTTCTTGTGATATCTAGTAGTATTGAAAAAGGAGTTAATTACCATAAATTAAAGCAAGTCATATGAAACCAGGTTTTTTATGCTCTTGTTGCATGTCTGCAAGGTATTAGGTAGGAACCACGAACATTTTTCACATTTACTGTCAAGCAACTGTGGTGTAGAAATCACTTTTAAGGTATATTTAAGCACTTAGGGACAGCATATATTTAAATACATTTTCATTAGCTGATTGTATTAAAAATAATTTCCTATGTGAACATGTATTCTAATATTTCCTTTTTCTTTTCTCTTTTCACTTTTACTTCTCTTCTCTTCTCTTTCCACAGATAAACCAAAGACGAAACATGGAAGTAAGCTATAGTTTTACATATTGCTCCTGCCTACAACTGATAATGTCAGATCTTTAAATGAAAAAAAAATGTATAAAAGCTCCTGCTTCTAGTCAGAATTGCAGATTACAGTTTAATAGACAGACTAGATCTAATATAACAAAGTTGATAATAGTAATAATGAATATGTTGAGAAATTCTAGTCTGATTTATCCAAAGAAGTTTCATCCTAATACTATATATGCTTCCTTGACAAAAGGAAGAGTCTTGTGCAATGCCAACACAAAGACCCCACCAATTTATAAAGTTTATGTTTATTATTTTACACTCAAAATTCTTTTCTCCACACCTGCTAGGCTCATTACAGGTCTCAGTCATGTATTCTGGTGCCAATATGAGCTTAACACTGCAAATCAATACAGCAAGTAACACAAGTCTCTTGTCATGGGATTTGTGTTACAGGTTGTCATTTTGCCAAGTTATGGCAGACTGTGTGACAGACCTCAGTAAGTTCAGTGCTACAGAATATGGTTGGTGTTTATTTACACTTTAATTTCCTATTTCAAGGTCAGTCCTGGGTAATTTTTTTTAATTTTTCAACATGTGCCACATACCATCATAAAAGCCATTTTTTCTCCTGGAGATGACAACTATGACTGAAGCACCTTCAAAGGTTTATAGATCACAAAAGTTTCCTTGTTTGGGGATCACTTGGGACTTCAAGCTTTGTCAGTAATGACTTAAGATTTCAGTTCATAATTTTTTAATGTTTTTTTCAAAATGCATCATTGATGTGACATCTTCTGCAACAGTTTGAGTAACTATGTTCTTAATAATGGAAGTGCACAACAACTTTAAGTTCTTACAGGCAGGCTCCTGAAAGTAAAAGGTTTATATTGTGTATTAAATTATTTATTTTTTTAAAGGCATAATAGCATAGTATTTATGTGTGTTACTTGTATTCTTGTATTAATCACAAAATCTTTATATGAAATGTGAATCACAAAAAAACAAACACTACAACAACAACGATGAAAACAACAAAAGGAGAAAGGTCTGTGTCTTTCACTCTTTTTTTTTTTGTGGAGACCATTACACTGAACATAGAATCTCTGTGGAATTTTTCATAAATCATAAGCACAAAAGGACAAGTTTTTCAGAAGACTGAGTTATTTTATGTTAGCACAGATTTCTGTCATTAACTTAATATTTAAAAATTGGTGTTGACTTTTTATTAGGACTATTAGAGATACATAGTTCCACTGTGTATGCTTCACAGACATCTGCAGTAAATTATTTGTTTTCTCACTTTCAAAATTAGTGACTGAATCATAAACTGGTGAGTACAAAACTGAAAGTAGAAACAGGAGAGCAGGGGTAACTTCTGAAACAGATGTCTGAAATGTAGTGAGGATGGAAAGAGACAGCTTTAGTACAACAAAGTTACACTTTTGACCTTGTTCAACAAATTGCTTTCCCAAGTCTTCTCCTTTAAAAATTATATCATCTGGAAGCACAATCTAGAAGGAGAAAAATAATGAAACATTTATCCCTTGATGGCAGCCCCAACAGAACAGGAGTTTCAATGTCAACAGTAAATTAAGTTTTTCTACTTGATGTTTACTTCTACCATAAACAAAATTTTATTATTTCTGGATTTCTTCAGATTCCACATGAACTTAGTTTGTTTTACAGAGAGCTGAATACTAAATCATGAACAAGAACATTTATTGATACCATGATAAATGACTGTGTGACACATTCCATACTTTTATAAAAAAAGTAACAATTTGTGAATTGTGTGTGCTTAAGACTGTAAACAAGTATCACTGCAGCTACTACAAGTTTCATATCTATCTGCTAGACACAACCTCCTTCTCATTAGGAGTCTTGGTCTCTTATCCTACGTGTAGAAACCAAGAAGGTCTTCTAACAGAATTCTTTAAGATCTTCTGGCACTGAATTTCTGCCAGGCTTTTCAATATAAAGAATTTTTTGCTTTATATCTGATGGACAACATTGTTGTTTTGTGGGGTGTTTTTCCCCAGAAAATACATGTTAATTAGTATTTCTCAGCTAACATGTATAAACCAGTGTAACCAGTAGTTGTATGTCTGAAACATTTATTTAACATGCAAAAATACCAACCCCAAGTTTCTATTCTTTCTGACTAGCTTGTTTTGGGACAGTCTCATCTGTCTTTTTAATTTTGAAGGGAAAAGTTTTGGAGACCTTGGTTTCATCAGGCCAGAATGATGATCTCACATGTTATCTGAAACAGAATTCTTGTCTTCTGTCTGGTTCAAATTCTTTCTTATGACTTTTACAGGGGACTGCCCTTCCTCGTACAGTATCCATCAAGGATGATGTGGTCTAGCAATCTTCACTATGTGTCTGTAGGCAAAATAAAAAGAACTCTTCATCCTCTTATTTGTCATTATTTTGTTGCTATCTCAATTTGATATGCATCTGACCCTTAGGAAATAATAGTTCCAATAAAGAGACCCTTGGACTTGATCAGCAAGAATTGACAATCCCAGATGAGAGGTCATAGCCAGCTCCAATGAGTCAAAATTGGCAAAGGGTCAGCTTTGCTCTTCTTGTTAACAAAGTTGAAAAAATGTCCTTATCCATATTAAGATAAAGCTTGCAAATTTTGTAAGTTTTATAGCTAATCAATAAAACACACTTTCTGGACTAAACCCTCTGACCAGAAACAGGTAAATTTCAATATAACTCTTCCAATCACTCTGGTTTTCACTATTTCTTTCAATATACAGTTATAGTCTCTCATGTGATATGGATGCTTCATTCTCTCTTATGATTAAATCTCATAGTTTCATTCAGTTCTGGCTTCTGACTGTCACTTTATCAGTGTGAATTCTTCTTTTACAGATCCTGGAAAAGAGAAAGAATTGAAATCTCCAGGTGCTACAAAAGATAAAGGTAACACATCAGGGTAAAACTGTATAAAACCCTAAGATCTGTGTGCATCAAGAAAAAAATCTTGCAATGCAGTGGCCATTTTGTTTTTACATTATAGTTTAGTTAAAAATTTATGAGCATAATACTATTTCAGTAAATTTATGATAAAACTCAATTGGCATTATCTGGTTCAAAAGTGCAAATAGAGCCTTGATAATATGAAGCATCTGTATGAAAACTTGGAAGTCCAAACTCAGAATTTAGGAACACTTGTTAATGTTTATTATTACAAGTTGCAAAGTGAAATAAGTTTTGAGTGATCTTTGTTCTTTTATTATACTTAAGAAAAATTCATGGTTTCACTTTGTGAGCATGCTAAAACTGATGAAAAACAGTTTTATGCTACACATCTAATTAGTATCATGTCTCAGTTAGAAAATGTCAATTATTTAATCAATCATTACCCCAGAAGTATTAGATGTTAACCTTTTATCACACTAGCTTGAAGATTAATACAATATTTTTACAGAAAATACCAAAGAAAAGCAAGGAAAGAATCCTACGGCTTTAAAAGATAAAGGTAAGAATAAACAACAGAATATAAAACTCATTGAAAACCATACAAAGTAGAATGAAGATATTCATTCTAAAATAATAATTGTAAATCTTTCTCATTATAAATCTTAACCAATCAACATTTAATTGGTTAAAATATTCTACAGGATTTATAGCATGAAAAGAAGGGGGGGAAAGGGCATAAATAGAATATGGTGAGCCAATTAACTTTCAGAAGTCTTAAAATTAATTAGGTAAGTATCACAAAACCACTCTAAGTAATAGTTAAGAACTTTTCTAAAACTTTCTCTTCTGAACAATGTCAAGTGTTTAATAGGAGCTAGTTAGTAAAGTCTGAACTAAATGATTGCATAAATCTGTAGACATAATATAAATAAATTAAACTTTATGCGCATATGAGTGGGTAATGTACTTTCTGGACTCTGCAAAGACTATAGTTAAAAACCCATAGCTTCATCCAGTCAATCACCTGAAACATGAGAGTTGGTCTGACTCTTTCTTTTATTCCTTATTTTTTATCAGACAGTTCCCATGTCTTTTTTAATTTGGTCAGAATAGATGGTTAGCTCAGCTGATTTTCCTTTCATCCATTATTTTGCTGGGTGCTTTTTACCCATCTTATTGCTTCCGTCCTTTCTAGAGATAGCCGTATATGAAAGGAGTGATTTATGGATAAGTCTTATTTGACATGTTCTTTAGGTTCTTCAGGATAAAAAGATCTACCACATAGATAGACATATTAATATTTATTTTAAATTATAGTCATATGCTATTTCAAACAAAGAACTGAATGAAGAGTTTAATTCAAGCACTATGGAAAGATGGAAAAAAAAAATCTAAAGCAAAAGGAGGAATAATCTTATTGCTAGATATATTTTCTAAATCCTGGAAGCTGTGTTCGTTCATTCACTCTTGTTTAATTGGGCAATCACTAATTAATCACTTCTTTATCTTTATACACAAATTAAAATTAAATTATAATAATGTGTAAATTCTGTGGTTCATGTATTGTCTTCTATGTATATTCTACTCCTAATGTACACATGCCCCATTTACATGAGCTTAGTTACTATACCAGAACTGCATACCCAGACTCTCCCAGGGTCCCATAGCCCTCTCCACAGCCAGCCTGTAATCTGTTGTTTCCTCATAGCGTTGTGTTGAAAAATTAGAAGAGGCCCTTGAGTGACATCTTTGCCCCTTCCTCCTCTGTGTGGAGCAGGTATGCTCAGCCTGCTGCTCCTTTTAAAGGATTACTGGGGGAGGGGAAGAAAAGGAAAGACACAGGAGACCCAAAACAATTTTCATGTTTGGCAAGAGTTTCTTTAGAACCGATGGAAAGGGGCTTGCCAGCCCTGAACAAGCTTCTGTAGCGTGTACTTCACTGAGTGCTCCCACGGCGCTGCTTTTAATCTCCTAGGCTCATGCTCAATAGGTCAGCAACTTCAGTCACTAAGTTATTAACAGGTCTTTTTAACATGACAGAGGAGGTTAGACCTTCTCCACCCAACCTTCTGAAAGAGACAGGCAGGAATTTATCTTAAACCTCAAGTGCAGGCCATGTTATATCGGATTTCCTACATTTTAGTAAGATAAGGCAAATATCTCTGTAAAATTTCCAACATATTACTCAAAGTGTTACCAACTAGAGCTTCACATGACTTTCTTTACTCCATGTAATACAGTCATGTATGCCCAATTCATTACTGCTGCTAACAGCAAGATCTCAGCCTACTACTTGATGCTGAATAGAGCTGGAAATGCACCGCAGGCCCCTGAGTCCCTGCAGCAACACTGATGTCCAGCCTAGTCAAGCCTGATCCCTCAGATCCTGAGAGCACTTGCTGATGCATCCATCACTGTTTCCCATAATAGGCATCAAACTTGCCTGGTTTGATGTTCACAGTTCACTGTCTGTGTCTAAAAATGCAGGTGCTGATTATTGAGTTAAATAGCTCAGTTCAAAATATATTGGCAGCAAAGACTCTATAGGAGAAACTTAGAAAGGTGTGTGGGAGAAACCCTTAGAAATCTTGGTGTCTTTCTAGGCTCTGTGCCTTCCCTATTGCATTTTGGATAACTCTGCTACATAATCATATATTTAGCACTAAAAATCCCCCATTTCAGTCACTATACTTGCCCAAACTTTAGCTCATAAATGAATCAAAGCCTTATTTGCATGCCACTTTTTCCCCTTTGTATCACCTCTTCAAGTCTACTCAGCAGGCCTCTCGAAAGGTTGACCAGGTTATTGGGGCCTTCTCTTCACTCTTTGTAACTTAGTGTCTTACAATGTGTTTCTTAAAGTGTTTCTGGCAAATAGAAATGTATTAAAGGACACAGGAAAGTAAAGACATTTAAGACTGCATATACATGAAATTATGTATCTTGGGAATTTGTTACTGTTCATGTAAAACCAAATAAAGGAACATTTTTAGGTAAGGTGTTAAATACTTGTGATGATTAATGTTTGCCTTATGCAATAAAAGATGCATCATCATGCCTCATTTTGTTTGAAGGATGGGCTAAATTTGGATGAACAAGGATGATGTCCAGACCAAAAACCTTATCATAAGGCAGGCTATTTTTCATAAACTGATGCATAGTGTTTTTATTTAAAAAAGAGAGGAAAAATAAATCCCCCTGCAATGGGAGTTATAGCTCGAATACTCTACAGATCACAACCTCACAGTGTTACCTTATCTATTTTATTAGTTGGATAGAGTCTTCAATCTTAGAGTCTAATCTTATTGGCAATAATTAAGAACACTTGAAGAATACACTTTCAGTTGTCTTATGACAAAGGACATCTCAAGACTCCTGAATTTATAACTAGCTTTTCAGTTTTCTCCTGAAGAAGCCCACTTACAATAATGACTATATAAACGCTGATTTTCTGTTGACATAAACATAGTCAAATAACGTGAGGCTAATGAAACTCTAAGGTATAATTAGCCATGTAGTTTTTCAGTAGATATCTCACCCAGATAATCAGAATAGAAGCTCGTTCATCCAGAGTCTCTAACAGTGGCACTAAAAGCTTATCATATATCATATATAACTCCTCATTGAATTTTTGTAAAAACTTTTCTAAAATTGTACTGTGTTGAAAGTGACAGCATTTGTGCTGTATAGAAAATGTAAATTCACTCTTACCTTGTGTTCCATGATTTGTTTTCCAAATAAATGCTCTTTTTTTCCCTCTTGTTTGCTTTTGCCATGTTTTGGGATATCTTTGCATCTTTTCTTATGTCAGCTATGTGTGGAAACTAAGCCTATTTACTTTTAGACACCGATTGGTAGGGGAAATATGTCAGTAATGTGTATTTCTTTCTTACCATATACATAATAGCACATTATCAATACAGAAAGAAATGTGGTGATTTGCACTTGTTATGCAATGCTTGCACTTCCTTTAAAGTAAGAGTAAAATGAAATAACATCTTGCCTGTAGCATTTTTTATCTTAACTTATAACACACCTTTTTTTTCTTTAAAATAGAAGGATTTATTGTGAAACTCACCTACAGAAAAACAATGTGTGTTCAGCTAATATTTCCATCTACTTCTTTGTTACTGCCATTTGCATGAGAACTAGATCTTTATCCTGAAGAATGTACACACTGCTGTTGCTGCACCTTTCTATACCATCCTCCTAACCTGATCCAGCTTCACCCTTGGAGTAAGATGTGGGAGGAAAGCAGCAAGGTGCATGTTGGCTTTAAACCAACTTCATGTTTTCACTATTCTGGGACCATCAGCAAAGTGGTCAGTTGAGAGCAGATATTTGAAAAGTCTTTAGTGAGTCCCTGTTTAAATCCCTGAAGATAAAAACCTGGTCCCTGGAAGAAAAGAAGGACTGATGATCTGAGTAGCTTTGACTCAGAGGGTGGGGAAGTTGGTGCACCATGGAAAGTGTCCTGCATTGATAGCTGCATCCAAAAGTTGTAAGAGTCAAAAGTGCTGAACCTGCTTTAGGAGCTACAAATCGTAGGAAATCTTAGGGATGCCTGCTACATGGATGGAAAAAAAGCCTTCATGGGCATATGCCACCAAACCCACAAGGCCAAAGGAAATAGTTTGTGCTAATGGTTGCTTTAACAGTGGCTGCTGATCTTTGAGATCACAAATGTGCACATAGAGTAAAATGGCCAAGTTCGGTAGCTGTTGTCTCAAGGCTTCCTATGCAGTCAACATAGAAACTCCCTCAAAGTGTTTCAGTCTTCACACTGGAAGTTTTATCTCAGTCCACCTGCTGCTGTGAAGACCAGGCTCCTAATTTAAGTATCTGTCCCTGAATGGTGTGATTTCTCCAACAGCTTCAGCCACCCTGGAAGTGAACTTTTTCTGTTACAACTCACACTTAAGGCCAGATGGATAAGTGGGATTGCTTCCTGGTACCATGGCAGCCAGGAGGATGAGCAGAGTTAAACTTATTTTGGAAAGGATCTTCTTTTAGCTTTATCTGTTTTACTGAAGCTTTGGTTAACTCTCGTTTGGTATAAATGGCATGTTTTTTTCTGGATGCTTAGGTGCTATATCCTGTCAGATGGAGTGCAATTGGGTCTAGTCAGCATCCTGCAAGATGTGATATTCTCTCACTTAAACCACATATATTCATAAGCTTATGAAATTACTTTGTCACTTTTCAGAAAATTATTTCCTCCTAATATTCCCTGATACATACACTTAAGAGGTTAAGAGGTTATTTCTTAAAAAAAAAAAAAAAAAAAAAGAATATTAGTTGTTTATACAACATAATGTATATTTTTCTTGTGCTTGCTGATCCTGAATGCATGCACCCTGAAGGAACAAGGCCAAAATTTTGTCTTTGTCTTCAGCCCATCAGAGGAAACAAAATAATCCCCTCTGTCTTCAAGAAGTTTTGGATAAGGCTCTAAGAATTTCTAATCCTGTGTCATTACTCCCATTTTCCCCTTCTCCTTCTGATTTCTTCCTTCTGTGAGGTACCTACAGAGTGATCTGTAGTAACTTCTACTCTTGCATTTGCTAATATTATTGCACCTTAAAAAATGTACTTATATATAATTTACTTACTAGAAAGAAAGTAAAGTCAGGTCTATTTATGTCCACAATTTTAATCTTAATTTTTAAATATTTGGGAGGTTTTCTTTTAAGTGTAGAAGGGTAGTCCTATCTTCTAAATCTCAAAAACTTAATTATCTCCCTACAGATTCTCTGAAAGGAAAGAATCCCAAGAATCCAGAGGGGTCAAAAGAAAAAGGTAAGTGACAAGAAATTCAGAACCAAATTTCAGAACAGCTATTCAATGGTAGAAACAGGTCTTGACTAGGAATATGTGAGGATGGAAAAGCAAACCCATCCTGGTTCATTTTCAGATTATTTTATCCATTATATTGTCTTTAACAACATTTGTGCTATACAGATCCCCAGTAGGGTTCCTAGTATCTACGTGGACTTCTTTTAAATGCAGAGATTTGAATTTGCATCATGGGGGAAATACTAAGATGTATTTCTAAACCACTTTTGTATATTAGTCTGTCAAAAACAAGTTGTCTAAATCTCATAACAGGGACATTCCTGCAGGGAACTAGATTAAATATGACCCATGTGGCTATGGCTCAAGAATGTGCTTGACTGAGAATGAGATTGGCTGAGTCTAACAGCAGATCCAGCTGTTTGAGGGTGACTGATATAATTCAGGGCTTTTTCCTAAGTTATTGGCAACATGGACACATAGGTCTCTAATCTTTTCAGTTGCCAGAGGTGGGCCTGCTAGCTGTGCACACAAAGGTCACGGATTATTTGATAGTGTCTATTTGGAGAAAACCTTATTGTTGCAATGTGGCATGTATTGAACACAATGCAAAGAATTATAAGATTCACATGCACTGATGACACTGGAGAGTACTGAAACAGCTCAAAAATTTGAGGGAAACAACAAAAGCTATCAGAACTGTGCATGGTTCCTGACCTATAAAGGCTCATCTGAGGTGCAAATTGTGGAGAAGTCCCATCTTTTTGGAAGCTGGAGGTATTCAATGCAGTCCAGACTATGGCTGGCATAGCGCAGAGTACTGAATAGTACAGCAAATAATACAGCAAAGTGATGCACTTCTGGGAGGAATGTATTATTCCTTGTGAAAACTCTGGGGAATGAAGCCAGGGCACTACCTTGGGCTCAAGATTCTCCTCTTTGTCACTGTTGTCCGTTCGTGTGTCTCACTTGGGTACCACAAGAAGATCGTAGTTATCCTTTATTTGTGCTTAACCAGGTTCTGGATTTTCTTTTCTCCTTGGGTTCTGCTTTGTCAGGTACAATAAAGAGAGAACTAGAATAACATTTTTTTTTCTCATCTCCTTTAATATTTTGTCATTAAAGATACAATTATGTTCTTAGACTATTCATTGTGACATAAAATATATGAATGTATATTGGAAAGATGAGCACTGTTCTTATTTTTTACCCAACTTGTCTATGATTTTAAAAAGGCTATATATATTCAGAAGTAAAATCCTGTTCACAGGCAATATCAATATGGCCTCTTTGATATTAAAAGAGCAATGGAGTCCTGAATGAGTAACTGGTCTTTTTGTCACTCCTCAGTAAAGAAAAATCCCACTTACCTTTATCAGCAGCCCTTTGCTTTCAAGACCAGTACCCCTAATGTTTTAATTGTATCAGTGTGGATTAATTTTTTATTTGAGTTCAGCAAAAGAAAAATCCATTGATGCCAACTGCTCTATAGAATTGCTTTCCCTTTTATAAATTGTTATTCTTCATTCCCTACTTGAGAGACAGTTTAACAGTTTCCTCAAAATGCGAAGAAACTAATGATATATCGAAGCTTATTATTTTGCATATCCAAGTCTAAAAGGATGAATGAATAACGTTGTTTTGTCCCATTCTTTATTTCCATACTGTTAAATCCATTTAATTATCACATCTTTTTTGCTCTCTACATATGAAACTGTTTGACTTCCTTTCATTTCAAGTGTCATCTTATTTCTCTAACCTGACTTGTGATAAATGTTAAATGCTTCTTTCTAGAGACTGGTAAAAGAAAAGATGTGAAGCCCCCAGCAGTCTTAAAGGAAAAGGGTAATGTCTTATCATTATGTGGTTTGGAAACAACCAGTAGTCTTCATGAAAGAGATTGCTGGTACCTCAGGACAGTTTCAATATATTTTGAACTACAGGCTTTTGGTGAAAAGAAACTAAACCTAGTTTCTTCTCACTTATAATAGAATCATAACCCTTATTGTGGTGTTCTTTAACCACTGTCTGACCTGCAAAGCCAATATTGCAGCAGGAATGCTGGTCTGTTCTGAATGAATTAGTAACAGAGCTGTTAATGAATTCATGTGACAGGCTCAAATGACAGGCTGCACAGGAATGAGTGCATGGCTTGAACTGCAGAAACTGCCAGCTAATTTAGTGGGAATTATTTTTGTTTTGCTTTCTAATCTGAAATTGAGCCTTTTATTGAAGTAAACAGAAATTCTACTTCTCAACACCTAACTCCTTCATTTGGTTGATCTGGTATTATGCACATTTGTTACAGTACTGATGGACAGAGTGTATACTTATATTACTTTCTCCTTCATTTTTTGTGTTTGATATATTTTCCAGACTCTTCAACAGGAAAAGAAATGAAGGCTTCAACTATGACTAAGGAAAAAGGTAACTATCCCAAATTGAGCTGAGCCTTAGCATAAGATTCAGTTGAGAAACTAAATCCTTTGTGCAAGTATTCTCAAATGAAATCCTAGTCTGCTCACTTAGTCATCCATAAATATCCTTGAATGTCATCCTTTGCTCCTGGACATTTTTTTTACCTGGCTGATAAATGAGAGACACATATGGGGCTATACAAGCAAGTTCTAGCAAAGTTATGAGGACTTATTTTCTTCTTTTTTTCACTTCTGTCTCATTTTTTCTATGCAAATTTGTCATTTCAGATTGCATTTTACTTTTCTTCTATAGCACATTATTGACTGTGCTTTGCTCTCTCTTCTTGCATTGAAATATCAGCACTAGCCATCAAATAAAAATCAATTACAATTTACAGTACCTCTCAAATACTAGGCATTGTTAGGCAGTGATAAAACTGTAATTGTAATTAAGGAACTACTTTCAGGTTTATTTTTTCTTATCAGCTAAATTCAAACAAAACTTAATTTTACTTTGACAGTATTTGCATATTGATTAAATACTACATGCTCTTTAGAAAGAAGTCTCTATGGTTAAATGTGTAAATAATTTAACATGGATAAGAATATGTAATAACTTTCTAGCTAGTAACAGTCATTTAAGCCATGGGAATATAGTAGTCAATCTTAAAAAATTGCAGTCAGTTTTGAAAACTGCTTCAGATAATTGAATAATATTACTTCCTATCTTTAGATTTTCCTTAAGGATCACTAGAAATAATGAGGCAACATTTTCTCTGACAAAGCTATAAGTGATAACATTTGCAAGCTTTTATGTGCAGCTCATTCACGTAGTGTATGTAGGTAGTATATAGCAGAATTGTAGAAATCAGCTATTACTTTACATAGTTAAGGTTTAAGTGCTACAAAAGGAACTAGGGTTTAAATAGTCTGAAACTTCAACGTAGTCGAAAAGGATAAACCTGGATTGTCAGTCCAAGGTCAAGGACATTAGAAAAATAAGGACGCATTATTGTATCATTTCTTTTAATTTACTTTAGTCAACAGGGAGTATTGAAGTGCGGGGTTCTTTTGTATGTTGATTATTAGTTTAATGCAACTTGGATTTTTATTTTGAGCTTCAGTCAAGAAAGGCCTATGATCTTCCTGCTAGGTTCTTGCAATCCTATCTCTGAATCATAGGTAGGATAATGAAGAGTTAAACATTGATTAGACCCTTAAGTGTTTGACTATTGATCTTCTCATTGAGTTTCTTATCTGGTTTTTGTCTTAAGCTGTCCATAAATATTTCCAGTTTGAAGATTGATTTATTCAAACTTAAGTGATAATCAAAGTAAAATACTATTTATTATCAAAGATCAAATATTATAATAACATAATATATGTCTATAAGAGGTTTTTAGCTGCACTGCTAATGAATTAGCTTCAGTGAAGTGTCAAACACCCACCCAACTATACAAAAAAAATAAGTATTTAAAAAGGACTTATTTAACTCGGTTTGATCAGCCAGTGAAACAACAGGTGAATAACAACTCCTTTTCCAGAAAGGACATGCTTAATTAAACATTGTAGAATTTCACTGACTGCACATGAAGTGGTTAATGCTCACTATATTTGAGAATGAAACTCAGTACCCAGAAGTGATTAACTCCACTATTTTTTTTTAATAACATTAAGTCTTCTTCCCATAGTATTTGATAGAACACATGCAAGATTTTCCTTACACTATAGCAGTAGAAAATATGAGCCATGTTCCCAGTGAACTTTCATATCACACAGAATTTTTCTGCATGTGCTAACTTTTTAACCTATAGATTAATACACTGTAAGAGACATAAAAGATTCTGTATTGCTGTGTCATCTTACAGTCTTATCACTTCCTACTTGTCAAGAAAGATCTGAATGTTTAGTACAGGGTATGACAAGTTGAACTTCACTGCCATACAGGATCACACTAGAGACACCTATGATTATTCCGATGAAAAGCAATGGCTTGGATGAAGCCTGAACTAGACCTGATTGATTTTTATAGTTACAGGAGGATATTTGGATAAGCAATGCTGTAATTTAGTGGGGACTAATTCGACTGAGTCTGCACAGCCTTTACCAGCTTCCCAAGTGAGATGAGTGCTACTACCCTAGGGGTTTGCGTACAGCCGTGAATGTCACCTGTGGATGTACCTGATGCCTTGCACACCTCACTGAGAGCAACTGGTATCTCACAGCAGTGAGACCATGTCTCTTTGACTCTAGCTGGCTCTATAAGAACTTAAAATATTTGGATTAGATACTATAAGACACATGATCAGGCCGACTGCCTTCTTTGTAGGTCTTGTGTATCTTAGTTAGGTCTGTAAAGTGGCTGTTCTGAGCTGGACTGCAGATCCTTCAAAGCCCCTGGAGCAAGACTGCAACAGAAAAGTGAAACTTGAGTGGGAAGATCTCAGGTTGTATACAGGTGTATACAGATGCCACCTGAGTGCCCACAATAGAATTCAGTCATTTTCTAGTCACTGAAGTTCATGACACAGCAAACTTTATACAAGCTCACTTTGAAGACATTTCAGCTCAGTAGCTGCAGGTTTTTAAAAGTTGTTTCAGTCTTTTCAGTTCCATGTGACAGATCTTCATAAGCCATTTCTTAGCTGCTGGGATTCATACGAATGCAGCACTTCCAAAAGCAAATACAACTCACTCAGTGACACTGAATATGTATGACAAGACATTGACATTTTGTCAGAAGAGTGTAACCCTGATACATAAAGTGGCTTTAAGCATCCATGTGGGATGCTGTGCTTCACTAAACCTCTCTTTCCTAACAACGATAAGTGACATGTCACATAGATCAGGCAGTTTGAGAAAAGCCTCTCTAGGGAAAGTGTTCCAGAAATTTTGTGACCATTGCCCTGTAAAGAAGTCCAAACAGGAAGTCACCTTTATGAGCACTGGTACTTATTTTTAACTAAGTGAAAGTACACAGGGATCTTCTTCAGTGGACATCTCAGTTTAAAATATCCAACCAAAAAGGCCTTGAGAAACAACAGTGGTTTGATTAGCACTTGCCACTTTATAGAGATCTGTCAAATCCAGTGTATATTGCATTAATAAAAGTGGCCACAGTGTAACCCCTTTGTTACGATAAATACATTTTTGAAATGTGAAAGTCGAATTCACACAAGCTGGATATAGAATTGCAAGAGAAAATCCTGAATAACAGAGAACCTAAATGTAAGGTAGATATATTAGGTGTATAAAAATTGTAATATCAGCCTGTTCGAATGGCCCATCTATTACAGAAATTCATTGCTGTATATTGCTGATAAGGAATACTTCAAGAAAATATCAGAGCTTTAAAAGTCAGACACTAAGATAATGACAGATATATAAATACCAAGACTGAGTCATAATGGGAGGTACAAAATCCCCATTGTGAGTCAGCAATTCTTTGTAAAATTCTTCAATAGACATTAGAAAATAAGAGAAAAGGAATAGAAATAACATGCATAATATGAATGAATACCATTTTATAAAAGGAAGGAGATAGAATTTTAATTCTAAAAGGCAATTTATATAAATTAATGGTAAGGCATGTTTTATGGCCAACTATGAAGTGTAACATTGTCCTTATGGCTTAATACTTGATTTTTTTTTATTTTTTAAGGAAAATATTAAAGTTGAATATGTAGCATCTATATATATGTGTAGAAATATACATTGAGTAGCCAAAACAAGTTTGTAAATGTAAGTATGTCTATTGATACTTAAGGTATTTCCCAGAGGTAGGGACTGATACATGCTGGGACTCCCACATCTCCACAATAGCACTCTGAAAAGTCCTCTGAATGTATATTTACAACATTTTATTTATTAATGCTTATGCAATGAAACAAAATTCTTGTTGCATAATACTATTGTCTCACATAATATATGAGATCAGAAACCAGGATTCTCTTTGACTGGGACAATGCACTTCTCAGCAGCTGACAGAAGGAGGCTCCCTCTGGTCTACTGCCATTTTATGGCCCAATTGCCCTCTTTTTTGCACAGATCCCATGAAAAACTGTCCCTCTCCAAAAATACTTCATACTTTGGGCACTCTGTCTGAAAAGTGAGATTGGCAGGGAGGCATTTGCACCCTCTGATGCAGCAGAGAGATCAGATCCCTGGGTAGCTCTGCCCCGCTCCTTGGTCTTTTGCGAGATTTTCAAACAGAGATTAGTGCCTATCGTTGGGAGTGTGCTTGAATTAATCCTCATACATTTTTAAGTATCAAGTTTCAAGGACTCATACTGGGATGAGAGAAGTCTGGCTTCTGCCAGTAGTCAGTATTTCCTGTTCTTTAGCTGTTGGTGAGAGGCTGGACCAGACTGCACGCACAAAGGGGACTCACTCAAGAATGTAACCAGTCTCTTACCACCTCTACCCAGTGACTTTACAGGGGGCCTGATAATCCATATAGTGTGAATCCTGATAATCTGAAGCAGAGTTTGCAAACTTGTGTTGCTTTGATTCTGGACAGTGTGCTTGTGTATTCTCATTAAGGTGTTGCTGTTAATAAAGAGAAAAACACTGTAAACATCTGCGGGGGGAGGGGGTTATGTAGTGAATGTAATTTTTCTTAGTAGGTCTGACAGGTACATCTTACAAATTAAGGACAAAAGGGATAGTCAGGTTATTCAGGGGAGTTCAACCACATCTTTCTTGCCAATTAATACTAAAATGCATGAAGATAATTGAATAAGAAGTTATTTCTCCAAACCTGTTCATTAAAACCTGGACCAGAGGAGAAAAAAGGCAGGAAAGGTGTCTCCTGCTACTGAATGAGAATCATTCTAAACACAGATGCTCCAACCAATATAAAGGCTAAATTCTCCTCTCTGTTGCTCCTTATACTGGTTCTTTTAACTGTGGTTTCTTAACAGGATTAAAATTTCTCTTGACATGGATGAGAGAAATTCTGACCTCAAAAAACTGGAAGAGAGAGAGAAAATAGCTATTAGGAAGACCTGAGAGAGAAATATCACTTTATACAGTTCCTAAATATTTTAAAACAGTACCTTCTTCTCAAGCTATGAACAGATGGACAATTTATGGTGAGATGGGCAAAGACAGTATCAGCTTAGCAAATGCCAGCTGCTTTGCTGCAGCTGCCTACATGAGGTGGTTTTCACTTCAACATAACAGCATGCATATGAACAGTTATCACAGAGTACCTGACATTGAGTCTGCATTTGATCTTGTTTTACCATAACTTACATGCCTATAACCAAAATAAATGTAAGAACTTACTCAAAGCTTTCAACTTCAGCCAAATTAGTGACTGTCTGTCTCAAAGTGTGCCAGGGCAATATATAATATTTTAAATTACTCCAGGTTTATTCAGAGATTTTAAAATCAGTCAGAAAAGTGGTGAAATCATAATTACAATCAAAACAAAACCAACTATATGGAAAATCACATTACAGAGATCTAGCTTGCATGGTTTCTACAAAAGGAAATTATGTCTTAGCAATAAGTGTTTTGAACATCTTAATAAAATAATAAGCACTGGATTTATAGGATGGTTTAAGTAGGTCTTTGGAAAGTTCCAGTATAAGAATTGCTACAGAAACTAAATAGCTGCTGCCTAAGATGCACAGTATTGAAGAAAATAAATATCTGATTAGGAAGCAGAAAGCAATTGATGCATTTTCATCTTGCAGCCTGTTTACAGATTAATTGCTTATGATTCCATGTCCGGACTCATGTTATATTCCTTAATTAACACGAAAAGATAGAAATAGTAATGTAATGAAATTTTCAGATGACATAAAATTAGTTAAAGAATTCAGGATCAGAAGGGGCTGTGATACACTGAATTTACAAGGTGAATGGGAATCATGATGGCAAAGAAAATTTAGTGTCAATACATAGAATGTAATATATGCTGGAGGGAAAATATTAAAGAAGAATTTATCTCTAAATTAACTATGTGTATTCAGAAAAGGACCTAAGTATTACTGCAGACAAGTCAGTGAAGAACATTTTTCCATATGCAGATGCATTAGGAAAAAACACATATAGTGTTTTAAAGCCATTGCATAAATCAACGATGCATCTTGTCTGGAGTGTGTGTACAAAACTCTAACATGATAATGTGGCACTGGAGTGGGCTAGGAAAGAGCAACAGAAGTCTCATAGAAAGAGGAATCGGAAAGATTGAGATTAGCTTTGAGATTAATTAGTACGATCATGATAAGATTGAAAATCACAAATCTAAGTCAAGGGCTCTTCAAAAACACAACAGAGGAACTGGATATCTACATGGAAATGCAGTTTTCGTAGCCCAAATTTTCATAATTGATTATTGTAAATTTAGAAAGGCAGTTAAATTTCATGTGTCAGGATGGAAACCAATTGCTTGTTCTGAGAAAATAACAGGAGAATTTGTGGAAGAAATCATTCTTTGACAGTGTTCAGACTAAAATCTGTTCCTGGCTACTGCTGAGTCATAAATCTACATGGACTGGATTATTGTTGACTAGGAAACCGTGTTTTCAAGATTTTTGGAGTTTTCAAGACATTTTCAATATTTCAGAAATGTTTCCATTTGCTGAAAAGCTCAGAAAAAAAGTCCCTCAGATCTATCATTATCTATGGGATTAAAGGACTGCTGGTGATCTAGATTCAAGTTTCCTATAAAAGTTAAAAAACGATAGAACCACCCTAAATCTGATTTTTTTTTTCTCCATGAAAATACTACTATGACACACTTCTATGATGTTTCCACCACTCAAAATTTACTTTTATTTTCCCATCCCACTGAAAAAAATTTGAACAAGATGTGCCATGGTTCGTAAGGATTTTTTTCCCCATTCCCAAAACATAGAATATGATGGTGCTCACTTTCAGTTTCTGGAGTAATTGTCAATTTGGATTCATGATCCCTGAAAATAGGATGTATATACTTGATAAACATATTTTGTTTTGTATTATAACTATATTATAAGGAAATGTATGACTGGATTTGGATAGGTCTACGAAAGGAAGACTGGTTTAAGGCTGTTAATATATTCCTCTTTGAAGAGGTTTGTAAGTACAAATCCCTAATTAAAGAACTAGACAATACGTCTCATCAGTACCGTGCAAAAAAGTTGGCTTAAGAATTTGTTCTTTCTCCCAGTAATCAAGGTAAAAAAGAACACAGCCAAGAGCACCTCTCATATCTGAGCATCACATTTTCTAGATCATCATTCTACGTTGTTTCATGTCCTTCCCTGCCTAGCTATAATATATTGCTCACATTTGTTCTCATCATGTAATCTGGGTTTTTATCAGTTGTAGACCAAATTCCTTGGGTAATCTATCCATCTGTTTGTTACATTTCAGATATAAACACATTGCTTCAGCTTCTGAAAGAGCAATGTAAAGGATGATGTTTGTGCTCTTTTTCATTTATTCCTTGTTATTTTAAGTTTGAATAACAGGATTTGATCAGAGAAATGCTGTTGACAACAGTCAGAATTGAGGTCTCTCCGTCTCTTAAGAATTGTTGAGTGTTTACAGAACATTCCATCAGAAAAACTGTGACAAAGGTGAAAATTCAAACAGATGTCACAACGGGATGTAATAGCAAAATAACAGAAATTATCTAGCCATAAGTGCCGTGGCAGGCACGGGCAGACCTTGCTCTGCCTGTGCTCACCTTGGGACCAGAAGCATGGTGAGCCGCATTCCAAAAGCTGACAGAACAGAAGTCAGGAGGAGCCCAGAGGTGCATTACATGTCCTCTTATAAGCCTTCTTCTTCTTCCTCTTCTAAGCCTTATAACCCTTCTTCTACTGCTGGCCACATTCCTGAGGTATTGAAAGCATGTTTCATTCTTAGAATAAGTGGTAGAAAACTTGAAAATCCTTTGAAATCAGATTTTTTTCTGATGCAGGCCACTGATAGATAGCATTTTAATAATTTCCAATTTAACCTTTTCCTTTTTTATCTGTTTCATCCAAATGTAATAGTGAATGAAATGAAAGGACTTTCCATTTTAACACTGAAGAGGTAGAGTTCGGCACTCAACCCCAAAATGCAAACATCTGAGACTGTGCCTACTCCCTCCTTTGACCTCATGACCCTTGATTTCTGTCCTGCACCAGGGAACATTCTCCAACGGAAAGGCAGAGCTCTGCTTTTACATCCTTCCTTTCCAGTTCCAGTGCTGCATCAGGCCAGTTCATACTGGCAACCTGGTGCTAAGCACTGTTTTCTGGGGAGTAAGAACTCTGAATTTTAATTCCTCTATCTTCTTTTGTCTGCAAATGCTAGCCTAAGGCAGAGGCTTACTACCACCATTTTTAACAGTCATGTTTTAAAATAAAGTGACATCTATAACTACATTTTTCGAAGGTTCAGCCCTATAAATGTAGGCTGGGGAATGGGTAGTACATGGATTTCAAATGGACTTAGGTATGAACTTGGCTCAGTTCCATCAGTTTTGCAGCAATCATCTGTAAATGCAGGTAATTTTCCCATTTTAGAGGCCTCAGTCCTTTTAGTAAAATTTTGATATGTTTTCACAGTATCCATTGCAGATACATGCATTATTTTATTGTAATCCCAGGCTGAGCTTTTGGGGGACTTTTATTCTGTCTCCAGAGTTTGAATACTGGTCACACAGCACAGCTTGCTCTAGAGAACTGAGTCCAGGTTGTTTAAACTGGGTTTAAGGTTTAAAGCAGCAGTTTCCTTCCAGTCTCTTTTGAATCTTCCTTCCTATAAAACTCACGGTGTCATAATTGGAGGTGGGACGGCTGCATGATCAGATCTTGTAATTCCTCATGTTAGGCAGAGACTTAGACACCTGAACTTGACTTCAGGTGGTTTTTTACTTCTTATTTTATGTATTTTTTTACCACTACTAATTTTAGTAGCAAAAAATCACATATTTCCCTTAAACAGATGATGCTTCATAAATTTCCTTCAGACTCCCTTTACCCCTTCATGCTTTCCCATTCCAGATTATCCTCCTTCTTCGTTTGTGACTAATTGCGAGAATCTAGAAAACTGGAATTTTCTCTCATCAATAGCAGAGCTGGGTGTCTGTGAGGAAACACTTCAACTTTCTGATCATCAGTTTCTTCATCTGAGAAAGAAATCTATTTCTATTCCTATACTGCTTAATATATGTATAGTTTGATATATATACACAAAAGGCTCGCATATAGGTGTTTGAATTATTTTTATTGATATTACCTGTTATTAACTTCAGTTGTGAAAATACAGTATTTTTATTTCCATTACAGCTGCCGTGAAAAAGGAGGGGGAGAAGAAAGGTAAATCAATTATTTTCCCTTGACTGAAGTGTCTTTCAGGTTGTGACCACTGTGAGAAATGGTTCTTTCATTCAGTGATACAATTGCGGTGACATATACCACCTCGCGTGCTACCATCAGCTTGCTTTCTCTGCTCCTGCTGTGATAACAGAGTTGTCATTTCCAGTATTGTTAGTTCCTTTTCACCACAGGCCAACACAGCCCAGTATCAGACACATCATCATTCTGATTGGGAAGAAAATGAAAAGCTTTTGTTACCATGTTAGGATTTGTCAAAGAGAACAAAACTTGCAGTGCACCGTGCATGCTGACCTGGCTGTTTGTTCTTTGCAGAAGGCGCTTTCCTAGAGACATTTAATTTCTTCTTTTCAGATACGTGTGTAGCATGAATGTAAGCTTTGATGAAGTCATTCTTTGGTATTTTAACAGATTAGTAGAGAAATTTGACCTGAATGAGAGACTAAAACATTACTTAAAATATGTAAAGATTTATCAGAAGTTAAATATCTATTTATAGCGTTGTCTTTCAGAATAAGAATTGCTGAGTTGAAACATTTTTTTTGTAATTTGTCAATTTTATTTCAACTTCAAAAATAGTGAAATGTTAACACTGAAGTGATATTTTTCTTTAATATATTCAACTTTATCAATTATTTGGTTTATAAGGCATATTTTGCTCACTAACCCTGGAATATTTCCAGAACTTTTCCATAGATTTCAAAGGATTATTTGAGATTTAGTATTGAGTAAGTGAGAAAAAAATTGTCTCTTTATTTCTGAAGTTTACTGATGGGTGGGGTGGGGTAATTTTGGGGCAGGAGGAATGTCTTTTGTCATTTCAAAAAGCTTTGGAAATTCTGTGATTTACATAGTTGAACAGTGGAGCCAACCTTTGCTGTCTATACATGAAGACATTTTCAATCCTGTTAATTTATTATTATCCCTATAAAGAGTTGTTAACTGAACTGGAAAAAAAAGAATTATAGTCTCAACTGTTTTAACAGCTTATGAGTGAAATCTTGGCTTTGTTGATGTTAGTGGCAAAAGTCCCATTCACTCCACTGAAGCCAAAATTTTACCTCATGTGTTTAACAGAATAATAAAATTAATTTTGGTTATCAAAAACAGCCATGCTGAATAGGTATCAAGCAGGATATTTTGTCCAAAGATTAATTTGCAACAACTGAGGCATGAAAGGTGGCACACAGACATCAAAATGCCTGCTGTGTTCACAGTCTTGAATTTATCACATAAACTGTTACATCCTTAATGGAAAGAAAACAGTGAAGAAATTGCTAAGGGTGCTACTTCCGTATGCCTTACCACAGGTTATGGGTCCACTCATTTACAGAATAACTTCAAGGGAATTTGAAAAATCTACTGCTTGCCCTTGGTTCATTTTTCACAGGTTAGCATTCTTTTCCTCCTTAGCCATAATCTTTCCCCAAAAAAAATGATTAAAATATGCATTTTTAATGAACATTTTTTGAAGTTGGATCTTTTTTTCCATTTAATTTTCTTTTTTTTTTATATATCTTTTCTTCTAAAAAAATAGCTTTCTTAGATTTCTTAATTTGTTGAAAGGATTTTACCAACAAGTATAGGTAGGATACTTTCAAGCACCTGGCTCAGGGCAGGGTGTACTTAATCCTGCTGGTTACCACCAGTTTGCTTCACAGAAACTTGGAGGTGCAAACTGAAAGTCAGCTTTGGTCATTCTTGTGATATCATAATTTTATTTATTTTTGGACTAAATTTCCCTCTGGTTTTCTGAAATCATAACCAACATTGTCAGCAAGGAAGGTAGTGATTCTAGTAAAAAATATGCTAGTTCAATGAGATTTTCCAGTAACTGAGGAAAACTGGTTCAGTTACATTCCTGTCTTCAGTAGATGTGCATTAAACTGAACAACTAGAGAGAGGTGACAAGGCCTCTTCCAAAAAATGAACATGCTATGCTTTATCTTCCTCATCTACCTTCACACTGTCTGCAGGCCCCACATGGGAAATATTGTATGTCACTAGCTAACTCCTAATATGATCAGACATTATTTATTTATGATTATTGTGTTATCCTAAAAAACTGCTCCAGGCTGAACGTGTATTCCTCTGACTGGCAATAACAAGCATCCATGTTTGCTCGTTTTGCTTAAGGATACAGTAGTTTTTGTCCAGCAGCAAAAATAATAGAAGTAGCCAGGCAGTGCTCTAAATTGACTGGCTTATTATCCAAAATATATTATGGTAGTAGCTTTCACAGTTCAAATACCACTTTACCATTTCTCATGCGAATCATGAAGCACATAGGCACTGTACTGTATATGAAACTTTCTCCAATTAGCCTGTCTTATTCAAATACACACCCCTCATCTAGAAAAACAAGAATAATGTGCAATACAGTGACAAGCCATCATAAAAAGAGAAGAGAGGATGGAATGACACTTTCTATCGACAGTACATTCCATGCATAGCATAAATCAGACATGAAGCAGTTTAAAAGAAGAGATAGAAAAGAACAAAATTGAGATAGAGAAAGCTTACATATTTCACTGATTTCTCCAAATATGAGTGATGCTAACAGGAACCTTAAGGCCCAAATTATGCAAGAAATTTATGCATTAACCATTTTTATTTGAAAGGTTAGCTCTCTAAAACTTTGTGACCAAATTCCTAGAAAATGGTCAGCTTCAGCTTCCAGCATCATGTTATGCCTTCTTTCAACATGTGTGGGATAGAGGAGCTGTCATAGAAACGTGTAAAAAGTTGTCAGTTCCTAAAGGATAATAGGTAACAACCCTTTGCATGAGGAAGGCACTTCCTAAAATCCCCAAGAGCAAATCTGGATGCCAGTACACAAGTATTTTTAACCCTTGCTCATGATTCAAAGCACTGCAAGCAGGGATTCACGTGAATTACAACAGACCCACGTAGCAGTGATGTGAGATAAAGCCCACCAGCTTTAGGGCACCTCCAGAAAACAGTAAACAGAGCTGTAACACCAAAATGTTTCAGCATTTTTTCAGTTTTAAGTGCCCTTTTAAAATGTTTTCAATGTTTTTTAAAACCAAAACAGTATTGTATATTTCAAAAATATTTCATAAATTCAGGGAGTTCCAAAAATGCTTTGTGTGAAATGAAGCCAGATTAAAACCAATGTTTCACAGTTCTGAATAAAATGGAATTTCTCATTTCAGTTCATACCTCCCATAACTTACTGATTTCTGACTAAAGAGGGCATGAAGTGAGATGGGGATGTCAAGCAAGCAGCTTTAACAAGCTTCATACTTTCTCTCTCCAAGTCAGTCTCAGGAAAACTTGCCTGAAGATTTGTTACTTCTGTGATTCTAGTGAGCCCAAACAGAATTTAACCATCACATAATCCCTGTGGGTTATGCATCCACATGTCTACATGTAGAAAAATCCATCTTATTGTTTAATGTGAATCATGAACCTGAGTTGCCAGGAAGTTTGTTTCTCCAAGCTCCCTACAGCTAATGAACGAGAGAGAGACCTATCTTCCTTCTGAGAGCAAGAGTGCATCTAATTTAGGGTACTTGTCTTCTAGGTGTCTCATAACCTATATGGACTGCCTACAGTTAGATTTTCTGAATACTTGTAAGCTAGTGAGATACAAAAGCTAGTTGTCTCTTGATAACATGACTCCCATTCTGATTTTCAACATTATCGTTATGTCAGCTTGCTCTTCAATTCATTTAATATTTTTTAGAAAGCCAAAAAACACATTCATCTGACAAGATTCAACAGTAATAAGTTGACAGGAGAGTATGCAGGATTGCATTTTGACCTTTTCCTAATAAATGCATCATGGTATACAGATAGTTTGAGTGCAGCTAATATAGAACAAAATGCAGAAAATGGTCAAGGCATGCACATTCCAGCTCCAAGCTAGATATTTTTGCCAATCCAGTAAAGGAAAATTTCTTTCAATTACTCCTGGCAATGGTACCCCACCCATCACTTGGAAACTGCTGCTCTACATATCAAGTGTGGTATAAACCAGGCAAGATAGAGCAGTGTTCATTTTCAGTATGTATAAAAACCAAGATGCTTTCCAAACTGAAGAAGAACTAGGTAGTAGTGCATTTCAGAATGGCCTCACTTTGGAGTTGACCAGAAAAACTAGAAGGCAGCTTTCTTATTCATAAAGCAAATTGTCACAGCGTCATGGGATTTCTGTTCAGCTGCAAATGCCACTGGTGCAGCATGAACCACACCTTCATCATGTAGTTTTCTAAGATGCCTCAAAGGATAGAAAGTGGACTACCTAATTTTATAACTGTGAAGTATATTACACAGCCCCCCTAACAGCCCCTAGACAGAGGCGGCGGCAGTGTGTGTGGGGGGAGGAGTGGGGAAGTAGAAATACTTTTACAAACATTTGCTTAAAGTAATGTCAAAAATTCAGCATTATATATGACAAAATAACACAACCAGTAACATGCTACTATGCTGTTTAAACTAGCAGTGCTATTTAGTCTGTAGTTGAAGGCAGGCTTCTCTCTCAAGAGTTAGCAGCATTGAATTAGCCACAGGGTGGAGCCTAAAGGATCTTTGAGGCGGTAGTTACCATTGCATTCCTCAATCAGATTAACTAAATAACGCGATTTTACTGAAGAACATTCTATGGGAGTCTTAAACTGCAGACAAGGTATTCTTCAGTGTAAATCCACTCCTGTCTAAGGACATTTTTCATTGAATAGATGATTGGCCGTGCATTGGTGAGCTTTGACTTTCCATGCTGAAGCAACAAAACCACGGCATTTACGAGCAATATGGATGAATGGAGGATTTGCATGAAATATGGAAAATGCTTTGAAAAGTCTGCATCAGCTGAAATTTCTTGTCCTCTGTTTACCTTGTCTCAGCTAACTTGGGGGGGTGTAAATAATTTATGTCCATTTTTCAGGGTTATATGAGACTTAATGATCTGTACAACCTCTGTTAAGTGATGACCAGATCTTGAGGGACCAGGCTCATGC